GGGGGGGGGGGGGCTGGACCCACCTCCTTGTCCGTGAGCCGGAAGTCACTGGGATACACCAGCTGCGGGGTGTGGGGGGGAGACAGGACACAGAACACTCAATGAGGGCTGGGCAGGTGGGGTGCTGGCTGCAGGTGTGCCCCTTTCCGCCCCTCCCAGAGCACATCTTCACTGGCTCAGACCCTCCTGCCCTCTTCTACCTCTGGCTCCCCCAGGCTCTCCCAGGCTCTCCCAACCTCCCTGGTTCCTCTTAGCAGGAGAACACTCCGGACTCCCCTTGCCCTGGCCAGCACATACCTGCGTGACTTCCCAGACTCTCTTTCTGCACTCCTGCCCTTGAGGCCACTCACCCAGATTGTGAGTGGGTCTCCCTGTCTCCACCATCCTGAGGCCTGCCCGTGGCCTCCTCTCTCACCTGGAGTGGTTACAGGGCCCTGGGTGCTGGCCCTGACTTCCCTGCCCTTCCCATCTCCTGAGCCCCATGCTACTCAGCCAGAAGGTCTTGGGCTGTGCCATTCCCCCAGGATGCTCTCTCAGATTGGGCCAGCCAGTCTCCTCATCTTGTCTTTGTGCAGACGTCACCTGACACAGTGGCATCACTGCCTCTCCACAACACCTGAGTGTCTTTACCCCAACCCCCACTAGTCAGGGGTCGGGGAACTTCTGGCCTGCGTCCCACCCAGAGTGTGAGCTCCAGGAGCATGCCCTGGGCTCCACAGTGTCTAGTGAATTTGACCAGCTAGACAAACCACACACCCCTTGGGAGTGAACAGTCAGTGAAAACCCAGACACTAAGTGACCGGCTCTGAGTGACCTAGGAGACAGGCTGCACCCTGGGGGAGGCAGCACTGCCCAATGGATCCATGGCAGGGTCGCTGCACAGACCTGATGATTCCCAGGGGCCCTGTGTTCCCAGCACCCCCTCCCTGAGCTGTGCAGCTGCATCAACCATTCAGAAGCTCAAGTGCACAGAGCTGTTAAGACCACTTGCTTAGAATTAGCTTTCCAAATGGTGGCATGCTAGAGAATTATACATGAGAATGCCTTAAGGGAAAAAAAAGAATCTCTTCTCGTGATTTAAAAAAAATTTATTGATTTTAGGGAGAGAAGAAGGGACAGAGAAAAAATATGGATTTGTTGCTCCACTTATTAATGCTTTGTTGGTGGATTCTCATGTGTGCCCTGACCAGGGGTGGAACCTGCAACCACGGTGTATCTGGGCGATACTCTAACCAACTGAGCTACCCGGCCACGGCTGTTCTTGTGATTTTTTCCCTTATTTTCTTTTGTTATATATCTTTATTAATTTCACAGAGAGGAAGAGAGAGGGAGAGAGAGAGATAGAAACATCAATGATGAGAGTCATTGATTGGCTGCCTCCTGCATGCCCCCGACTGGGGATGGAGCCCACAACCGGGGCCTGTGCCCTGACCGGGAATCGAACCACTACCTCCTAGATCCTAGGTCGATGCTCAACTGCTGAGCCATGCTGGCCAGGCATCTTGAGATTTTATTATTATTTTTTTAATCCTTACCTGAGGACATGCTTTTATTGATTTTATAAAGAAAGGAAAGGAAAGGGATGGGGAGAGAGAGAGAGAGAAACATCGATGTGAGAGTGAAACATCTATTGGTTGCCTCCCACACTATTGAACCCACAAGCTGGGTATGTGCCCTGACCCGAGATCGAACCTGCAACCTTGGTGTATCTGGACAACACTCTAACCAACTGAGCTACCTGGCCAGGGCTTCTCTTGTGATTTTATGGGGAACAATTTGGGCAACAGTGAGAATGTGGGCTCTGTGGAACTGGGCACATCACCTCACCTCTCGGTGCTCAGGCCCCTCCATCAGTGGGGCTGCCACAATAATGCATGCCTGGTGGGGATGGGCGTGGTGGCCACAGAGCTGGGCACAGTGCCAGGACCCAAGAGTCCTCACTAAGAGCCAGTCCTTTCCGCCTCAAAGATTCAGGCTTTCCACAGCCTTGCAGAGCTCAACAAGGCCTCAAATCAAAACATTCCTCACCCTCATGGGCTTCCCAGGATGGCTGTGCAGCCTCATCTTGGCCAACTGCAGTCTCAGGGTGCACTGCCTGCCTGCTCCCAGGAAGTCCTGACAGTGTGGCTAAGTCTACGTCCAGCCTCCCCCGCATGGGTCAGCCACCTGGCCTCCTGGGTCGTGGCCTTTAGGGTGCAGAGACCATCCTGTCAGCCCTGTGGAAAGCCTGCCACGTTTTCATCTACACCTGGAGGAAGAGAAGCTGCTGGTGGGGGTGGGCAGGAGCGCTGCAGACAGTGGGACACCCCAGCCCCGAGCTGGTGCAGCTGGAGAGGAGAAAGATGGCCAGTGCGGCTGAAGTGGGGCCCGTGGGGTCTGGATCTGATTCTAAGTAAAGGAAGAGGTCCTGAACGATTTAGGCCGAACAGCCACCAAGGAGGCAATGATCTGAGATCCTCGCTGCCGACAGTGGGATGTGGAGTAGGGGTATGGGAGGAGCCCAGGGTGACCCCTGGGATTCTGGCTGGAGTCACGGAGGGGACAAGGTGCGGCAGCTAGTGTGGGGAAGGGGGAAAACGAGACAGATTTTGCTTGAGGAAAAGTCACGGGTATCGCTTAGGTGATCCAAAGTGCAGGGCCCCTATCTCCTCTGTCCCAGGGGGAAGTCTGCCTTTCGTTCCTTTGCTGGCGAGCGCCCCTGAGAGGAGGTGACCGGCACAGAGTTTCGGAGGTCGGACAGGCCACCCGACGGCACCCCACGCGCAGAGGGCACCCCGCGCGACGACCCCGCCCCGCCCCCACTCCTCGCTCACCTCCAGGGCCTGGCCCAGCTCCAGGTCGAAGGTGACCACGCACACGCACTCCAGCCAGGCCGAGAAGCGCGCCCAGGGCGTCGCCGGAGCCTGCACCCCGGAGGACGGCTCATCGACGCGGTCGTGAGCCCGGCGGGACCCAGCACGCGACCGCGCATCCATAGCGGAGGCTGCGGCTGCCGGCCGCGCGTTGCCGGGGGAACGGCCTGGAGGCGTTGCCGGGGGAACGGCCCGGAGGCTGCGGCCTCGGCGTACGACGGGACCACGCCCCAGAGCAGTCGAGCAGCCGTCGCGGACCACAGCGGCTCTTCCATGGCCCTTGCTGTCCCCTGGCTGCCGGAGGAGCGCAGTGCAGTGGAGAGACGCCGAGCCCACCAACGAGATGGGTCCGCGCGGGCCAGAGCGGCCCGAAGCTCGAAGGCGGGACTTCCGGGGGGCTGGCGGGACTTCCGAGGAGTCGGGTCAGGTGGGCGTAGGAAGGCTGCCGGTGGTCCTCGAATGCGGAGCTTGCCCGGCCGCTTTCACGTCTTTCCTGACCCCGTCTTTCCACACACGAAGCCTGCGCTTTCAGGTCTGCGCCGCGTTTGCTCCCTGGGGTCGCCCAGAGGCGTGGGTCCTGCAGAGCCCACCAGGCCTGGGTCCGCGCCTGCCCGGGCCGCCTTCTCCCTCTGCCGGGTCCTCGGTGCCTGCGACCCCGCCCACGCCCACACCCACGCCCAGGGCTGTCCTCTGGCCTCCTGCTCCGCGCCCCCGAGGATTCGTGGGTCGCGGCGGGCTGCCCGGCTCGCGGTCCCAGGCGCACGGCCGAAACCAGCCGGGACGCGTCCCGCAGACACGCTGCACACAGCCGGGCGAAGGAGGGCGAGTTTGAAGCTGAGACAATGACGTAACTGACAGGCAATGCATTTTAGTTTTTAGGTTTTGGGAGGTTTTTAAAATGTGTTTTTATTGATTTCAAAGCGAGGAAGGGAGAGGGAGAGAGAGAAACAGCAATGATGAGTCATCGACGGGCTGCCTCCTGCGCGCCCCCTGCTGGGGATGAGCCCGCACCCCGGACGTGCGCCCTGGGCAGGAGTCGACCTGGGGGCCTCGTGGGAAATAGATCCAGCTCAACCACGGAGTCACGACGGAGGGGCGGGGTTGTTTTTTTTAAATGAGACCCCCCTCCCTCCCCAAGGTTAGTTAGCGGTCTTCATGGCTATTGGGGAGCCAGGTGTCCCTGCTGCCTTAGCACAGCGCCCCTGCCGTCACCCGCCCTGGGAAAGAGATCAATGAGGCTCCTAGCTGTTAACTGCCTTGGCCTACAGGTGACGTCTCCGTCACGTCTGCTTACAGGCCATGGGCCAAAGCTGGTCACGTGGTCCCGACCTAACTGCAAGGGAGCCTGGGAAATGAGGGACATGGATATTTGGAGCGCCCTGAAATTATTACCCTTTATAATGACCCTACGTCATTGAACGTATGATGATACCATTATTTTATACGTCACCAGGTAGAGAAACTGCTACCAATTACACAGTGATGAACATCCAAACGTTTTTAAAGATTCTATTATGAGAGGTTTGAACATTCAGAAAAGATGAATGAACTGCACAATGACCATCCACTTACCTACTAGAATCCACATCAACAATTAGTATTTTGTTAAATCTATTTTATCCCTTATCTCTACATCTGTCTTTTTTCTATCCATTCACCAATTCGTCTGATTTTTTAATTAACTTCAAAGACAGTTGCAGATATCAATGCTCTCAAATACTTCAGTATGGATACCATTAACTGGTACTTTTTTTTTCCTTTTTTGGGGGATAGAACTTACATATAATGAAATGCATGAAATTTTTTAAAAACTGATTTTATTGATTTTATTTATTTATTTTTAAATATATCTTTATTGATTTCAGAGAAAGGAAAGGAGAGGGAGAGAGAGAGACAGAAACATCAATGATGAGAGAGTCATTGATCAAGCCCGCAACCCGGGCATGTGCCGTGACCGGGAATCGAACCCTGATCTCCTGGATCCCAGGTCGACGCTCAGCTGCTGAGCCACGCCCGGCTGGGCTCTGATTTTACTGATTTTAGAGAGAGGGGAAGAGAGAGAGAAACATTAGTTGGCTGCCTCCCTCCCCCAGGGATGGAGCCCTGACTGTACTTGAACCTGCAAAGTCTTGGTCCAGGGGAGGGTGTTCAACCAACTGAGCCACACTAGCGTGGGCAAAGTACATGCATCTTAAATGGACACGATTGTCAACCCAAAGCACCATCACCCCCCCCCCCC